TTTTGTAATGACAATAAAATATTTACAAAAACTATTCATTGAATTAGCATATTAAATTAACTTTTTCAAATATTTAGGTCATTTGTGCGCTTTTATTTTTAGATTTTTCGCTTTAATTTGTTATATTACTGTTGCAGTTGTTAACTCATAATAGACTGTTTTCCTCGTGTTTTTAAATATAATAGGTACAAATAAATTATTGATATGACGTAATTGGGATATAAAATATATAATATAGGCATAATATTGTGTGTTATTTATATATTATGTCTGTCTGTATTTGGACTGAATTATTTCATACTTTACAATTATAATTGTTTATTATTTATAGAAATAGAAATAAACTTTCTTTAAATAAACTTAATATAGACACATTTGAATAGTCATATTTTTTATCCTGCCACTTATTCGTCTCGTCACAAGAAGAATGTGCAACGGACTTGCTTGTTACTCTTTTAAATAAATTTTGTTCGGAATTACATTTTTAATGTGCATACACAAACAGTTAAATAGCAAAGTTGACATAAACAAGTATATAGTTAATTGAGTAACAAAATAAATCTGTCGCAGTTATCAGAGCAGACCAGTCCCTACAAACAACACCCGTTCACGAGTATAACGGACAGACCAATAGACTTTCTGATATGAGTGGTACCATCACCGTCGCGTTACGTGACATGAGGGCACCGTTCCTGTATATTTTTTTATGAATGATAATGGATTGGTGCACATGCTTGCACTTACGGTTTCCGCTGCTGGTGCCCCACACCAGTAGAAGATGATAAAATGAGCATGAGATTAGGCCAGTTAGCCCATGGTGACACAAACCACAAGAATTTACCACTATGGTTGCCAAGGGGAACCGCGTGGAGATCTACCTGACATGGTACATTGCTAGCAATAAGATCATCAGTCCACATTACTAACAATCCCCTTTCCCCAGTTACTTTATATTGGTGGCAACCACTTACTATCACCACGCGTTCAGCGTCACGATGGGGTAACTGACCTGACCTCATGTTCATCCTATCATCCTCCACTGGTGCCCCGCCAACATCAACCATTAACGCAGACGGGTCATTCCATTAAAAAAAGCACCATCAGATACGCTGTCCGTTTGATTGCTATTCGAAGTGCATAAAATATATATATGAATTAGTATTTGCAATGTATATTTCTAAATTATGTATTCGTAATGTTGCACAACGAATTAACGGAATGTATAACAGTATGGTAAACGCATGGCCTGTCAAGCGATGGGACACGGTCACGTTTGGGAAGAGGGGATTCGTATTATTAACCGACTTGAAAAAAGCTGGACGGGAATGGTTGCCTATCATTTATTCAAATAATTAATTTAAACACTGTTGCATAGTCACAACAAATTTTGTTTTTTATCTATGGCTCGATCGGAAAGCTGTCCCCCATCACAAGAAGAACGAGCAAGAAACTTGTGTTGCTCTTTTAAATAATGCTTGTAAGTTTACATTTACAAGTCGAAAAGTGTGAATACAAACTACCAATCAGCACTAATTTTTTGTTACTTCACATTTTTAAGTTGAAGTGTGTGAATACAATCTACCTAGTAGCCCTAGTTAATGATTACGAATGCTTTTTTTTCCATATTCGTCCATCTCCTTTTCAATGATGGAACAGGCAAAGATCCTTAGACCATACAGCCTAGTCTACGTTTAAACTTCTTCATATTTGTATAAGTGATGAGGCCAAAGGCCGATTAAGAATACTCGTAATTAATTTCTTTAAGTTTATTTTTTTTTTATAATATTATGTTGGCAAACAGGCATACGGCCCATCTGATGGTAAATGGTTACCGTAGCCTAGTTTTCTGTACGTAGAATTCATTCAATTCCAGTACATAGTTATATAATAAAAATATTCATACTGAGTTAGGTACTAATTTGCTGAAGTTCTTTTAATAATATCACAATTGACACAGCGTCTAGTCCCAAGCTAAGCGGAGCGTGTGTTGTGGGTACTAGATGACTGATATAAATACATATGCTTCTGAACGAGGCATCATCAGGCATTGAATAGAATTTGGATATAGTTTGAAAGCCTGTTGACTGATCAGATTGTCGCCGAGCAGTGGTCAGGTTTCCGCACTGAATATTTGTGGTCTCACACATGTCACACAAATTATGTAAATCCACTAGCTACCCGCCCCGGGTGTACATGTGTTATACATATCCCTTCCTCTTGAAACCTTCTATCTATTACTAAAAAATGCATTACAATCAGCGGTGTTTAAAAAATCTAAACGAACAGACATCGGGAGCATCTTTATTTTATATATATATAAATATTCCCTTGCGCAAATTAAGTATATAATAGAAATGCTTTAATAGTCATAATATTGCTAATTCCAAATATTTTTAAACATTACCTCACTTGAAAGTTATTCTAACAAGGTTATTAAAGTATTTACATGTTTGTGCACGCGACTATACGTATTATGTTTTAGAGGTATGCGTGTGCAACTAATGTAGATGCACGAACCATTGTATGAATTACCTATATACTACGGTGTTTTTTATTTATGGATGATAATGGAATGGTGCACCCGTCTGCGCTAACGGTTTACGCTGGCGGGGCACCAGTGGAGGATGATAAGATGAGCATGAGGTCAGGTCAGTTAGCTCATCGTGACAAATTCACTAGGAGTTTATCACGATGGTTTCCAAGGGAAACCACGAGGAGGTCAACCTGACATGGTCATTTCTAGAAATAAGATCAGTCCACATTCTTAACAATCCCCTTTCCCCCTATATTACGGTGTTACCCGCCTGAATTCGACTATATTTTTTTTTTAATTATTTGCCATAAAAAATATGTAAAACTGATTTTGCGTTCAAACACGTTCAGCCTTTTAAATGGTTATATGTGACGAAAATTTTCTAGTATAATATATTCGAAAAAATAAGATACGCTTCTTTTTTTAACGTTTTTCCTTAATTATATGTTTAGAATATATTTTATAGGGTTTAATAATAGTTTACTGTTGCTATTAACATGAAATGCCTTGTACCTTGCAACGGTCTAATTGGAAGACATATTTAATGGAACATTATTTTATTCAAGAAATCTTAGACCTATCGAGAGAAGAAAGTGGAGTTGTCTTAACTTAAAACCCAACTTTACACCAGATCAAAAAAATTTCTTTAAAATATGATAAATCATATCTCGACATTCTATTTCAATAAGTATATATGAGATTTACATTTTTGAAATATAAGAACCTGAAAGAAATTTTGTAGGTACTGTTAGATTTTTTAAGTTACGATAATTCTATTTTCTCCTGTCAATATATTAAAATAGTAATGTTTTAAAGTACCCATGTTCAAATTATAATTGGTTAATAGTTTTAGTGGTTTATGATCGTATATTTAGCATTATTTCTTATTCGTATTAGCACATGGTTATGTTATATTATATATAATAATATAGAACTTATAAATATAATAAAATTGTAACTTTGGCTTGTCTTTCAATACTACATATTCTTTATTGCACTTTTAGATACATCAATATTAATTAGAGACAAAGTGACCAAAGGTGTGCTTATCGAATTATAATGCAATATGACAATTACTGTTTTTACATCATATCATCTTATATTTATTTTATATAGGTACTCATAACTATTATATTTGTAAACCGATTGGAATAAAAATGGAACTATATTTTAAGTGAAGCCTTACAAACAATACCTTAACAATGCTTAACCGATTTGGGTGCTTTCAATTAGGGAAAGCACCCAAATCGGTTAAGCCGTTTCTGAGATAAGCGATACTAAACGCACAGACGAATATATACAAGTAACAGTTTCAACAAAAATTGTTTTTCTCATATACCATTCATGCACAAGACAGCCGTCAGTTACAGTTTTATTATATGTATATATTATATATGTGTATGTAGTATTACTAGTAGAATAGTGAGACACTGTATTAATATGTAATTTAGTAAAACTTGTATGTTAATTTATGCAACAAAAATTAAATAATCTGTATATTATATCTGTGTAGTCATAAAAATATGTTTTGCATGTAAAAACACCTACATTTGTGCGATTGAGGCTGCCTGAGGTGAGGTTCGAATATCTAGCGGTGCCCTCAGAATAGTTTTTTTTGGGACTACTTTAATGCTGTTAGCCGCAGCTGGCCTTTACAGCTTTACCGGACGATAAGGGACGAGTGCAGATAGTACTCCAAAACCCGTGGAAGGACTTACGGAGTGGCTGAAGGCTAACCTACCTGGCAGATTCGACTTTAGTGTGAGGACACCGCTAGGGTTCTGAACCTCGGCTCAAGCCGTCGTAATTTCGATCCCCGTTTGAATTGGATCGACTAAAAGGAGCTAAAGGTAGGATTGGGTTTTAGGCAATCGATAAGTCCTTACGCGGGTTTGGATTTGTCTCTCGCTCCCATTCTTTGTCCGGTACAGCTATAAAGGTCAGCTGTAGCCAACAGCATTTTAGTGGTTAAAAATAAATTTCTCAGAACTAGATTACTGCATGTTGTTTACACTTTGTGTATGAAAAATTAAATTATTGGCATTAATGCATGAAAATTTTATTTATTTTTGAAAATTAAACTATATATTTAATCATTATTTTCCGTTTTGTGAGTAATATGAATGGAGAATAGATAATACATATTTTTCCTTGAAGTCTAGCAATTAATCAAGCATAGCTTTGCCTGCCATGCGAAACTAACACCTAAATGTTGTTACTATGGTTGCATTTTACATTTAGTTGTGTTCATTGAGCTTGTTGGAGTTACCAATTATTCAAACATTTTAGGATATTTCACTTTATTAATAAATGTTTTAATACAAATTATATTTAACAATTAAAATTGATGTTTTAATCTGAATGTGACTATAAATTGTATTTGTTTACTTAATGAAAATGTTGGGTGAACGGATAGTGGTTCCGTATATGATTATATATAATAAGTGGATATTTTGTTGTGTTCCAGGGCGGCATCAACAACAAATGTGATGTTCGCGTCTGCGCCGCTGGTGAGACGCGCCTCAGCACTGCACTTAGATTCAGATACTGACAACAAAGGTATTTTGAATTATATTTGTATATTTCATTCTGACAGAATTGTTTAGTTCATAATAATCTAATAATATCTTTACGACAAACCAAAATTAGTTTGTAACTTTACTAATCTTAAATATTTATTTAATTAATTAGTTGTCTCCACAGTCAGCCAATAATATAATTATCGCCCTATTTCGCTGGGGTGCAATTGTTGTAGAGATCTTTATTTTTTAATTATAATATCATAGAAAAAAACAAAAAAATTCTTAATTCATTCTATGTTTTCCTTCTTTTTTTACTTTTCTACACTACAATAATTTGAAATTATTGTAGTGTAGAAACATAACAAACGTATATAGAAATATTCAATATTTCCTTGTAAGTCATTTATGCATTACAGACAGATATATACATACATGAACAATTAAGCCACACTGATATTAGCAGGCAGAAATGTAATATGCCTTTTCTCAGTGGGCACGCAAATTTTTATTACTGGACCTAACAATTACATATTAGATAATTATAATTACAGATTATTATTATTATTATTATAAACATCATTATAGTTGTTATTACTTTTGTTTATAATTTATTTAATAAGTCTCACTTTTTCATTCCTATTTTAATGACAATATGTTTAATGCTGCATAAAGGAATTATGATGTTCACGAGCTTCTGTGAGTATGACTATTTAAGGATTATAATATGTAGTGTTACAATACATGTGAGTCATACAATCTGAATACTCGTCATGATGACGCCATCGGTGGCCACTTCCCATATCACTCTTTATCATCTTGGTCCATCTTAAATAGTTTTATACCGCGTTTCCTCTAAATCAGTATATACACATATACTTTTGTCCCGATACATTTTGAACAGAGGATGGACACCTCTGTCTCACAATTTTTTTATGGATGATAATGGAATGATGTACCCGTTTGCGCCAACGCTGGCGGACAACAGAGGAGGTTTATGAAATGAGATTGAAGTCTGCTCATTAGGCCATCTTGGCAAATGGCAGTTTACCGGATGGCATAACCGGTACTGGGTACCAATGTACCATGAAATGGGATTATTAGTTTCAATTCCTAAGTAGCTTGCTTTGTTACCTGTGTTTTGATAAAAGGTAAGAAATAGCAGTGAATTTACATGACATAACGTTATAACTCTCAGAAATAATAAGGGGGTAGGTAATATGGGCTTTACAGTGTTTTCTGTGACGTCATTGATGCTGTCAATGTATAAATCGATTATTATGACTGTCCATCAGGACGACTGTCGTTCCAATTATTTAAAATTTGCGAAATAAATAGTATCCAAACACCTAATAGAAAAAAGTAAGCAGGTAAAAATTAAAACAAAAAATACAGTCGAATAGACTAGCGCCTTCTTTTTTTTAAGTCGATTGAATAAAATTGAAAGATGAAGAAATTGAGATTGAATAAATAATAAGGTTACAATTAGAATACAAAATACGTACAGTCGAAGTGAGAAGTTTCTCCTTACTTTTAAGTCGATTGAATAATGATCGTCAACATACTTAAGAGAAGTATATGACCTTGCCACGTTGTTATATAGATGTGACTAATTGTATAATCCGTCATTTGTATGTCAAGAAGATTATTGTCAGCTTACGTAGTTTTATGCGAGTATGGCGTTTATAAGACTATTAACGAGTCTCAATAATATTATAATATATATGTATATGTATACATCGAATTCTCATGTCACAGTGTTAGTTGCTATACTTCTACGAAACGGTAAATGACATTACACACAACTACCATGTGTTTTACACACTCGCATATATATGTTTATATATATATACACGTTTTTGTTAGTTCTTAAAGAATTTTTGTTGTATTGAGAAGTACTCTATTTGACCACACACTTTAACAACAAGTCTTATACCATAAAACATTAGTAATAATATAATATCTCAGGACAATTCACACAGCGCCATCTAGTCCCAACTAAGCAGAGCTGGTGTTGTGGGTACTAGATAACTGATATAAATAGATGGATAAATTTTTTTTTTTGGTCAAATAAATACATATTATACATAGAAAACACCTAGACCAATATAAACAATCATACTCATGAATACAAATGTTTGTACCGTGAGAGGAATCGAACCCACGACCATCGGGTAGTAAAGCGGTGTGCTAAACCACTAGACCACCGAGGCTATAAATTAGTAATGTTTAATTTTAAATTAATTATGGTCGAATTTCTACCACGAATTATTATTATTTTTCTACAATTTGTCATTTTAGTATGGTATAAGGTGTAAATTTGTCTTATCTATTGAAGTTGGTTTTATGGAACAAAGCTTTATGTTTTATGTATTTGTTCTCGACAGACGAACCCGACCGGCAACCGCAGGCCGTGATGTGGTCATCGGTCGCCCGGAGACGGACGGACCTGGTGCCCACACTGCCGGCACCCCGCGCTCCAGGTAGAGCCTACTCCATGACCAGACTCGACAAGATCCCGGCGCAGAGGCCGCTCCACTCGGCCTCGCCGTCCATGCACCACCTCAACAGGACCCGTAAGATTGACTCGGCTGACGCCACCGCTTCGGTTGCCCAGGTTGCCGGGTTGCTTCGGCTTTGCTTTCAGGGTTTGTGGTTGCAGGCTCATTTGTTCGCTTTCGGTTGTAATGGAGGTGTGTTCTGTATAGGGTTTATTTCTACTTATGTCCCTTAATTTCACAACGTTTTTAATTAATACATTGAATATAACCTTAGGATTCTTGTAACATAGGTCTTTTGGCGTTGTTTTATATATGACTTAGGTCCCATAATTAATATTTCTTTATTAAAAATATGTTTAATTTTTATGGTTAATATACATAAACCGTTAGATTATCTAACGGTTTATATACATAGCTCTATTGATATTGATACAAGACTTACTAAATATATTCAGGGTTATAGAATATATGTATTAACCAGAACCCATAATATATAACTGACTTTCACTAAAAATACTATCTATTCGAAATTCAAAAATAATTATTTTATATAGTTTTCAGATAGCCTCTTGCCACAGAAAAAAAAAAGTTTCCAGACTTCCAAGATAGGATCGTATATGATTTATTGTCCTTGTATTAGAACTACTAAACATCATAGACATGTAGTCGGGTCCACTACTAAAAATGCAAAACTATATATTTTTATTACCTACATCAAATGATCCCTCTAAAATCAAATAAAATAGCAAGTATCATTGAATATATTTAATAACTGAATATATATAGATAAGAGCAGACCAGTCCCTACAAGCAGCGCTCGTTCACGAGTATGACGGATGAGCCAGCCATCACTGCGCTCGACCATATTATAGCCTATGTTATTCTGATGTATAAGCTATGTTATTGTAAAGTTTCTTTAAAGTCCAATTAGTAAATTTTGCGTGAAAGAGTAATAAACATCCATACATCTACACTCGACTTTAGCGTTTATTTTATACTACGATGGTGGCAATCAAGCATACGGCCCATCTGATGGTAAATGGTTACCGTCGCCTATGAACGCCTGAAACACCAGGGGTATCACGTGCGCGTTGCCGACCCTTAAGAAACCTTAATATACCCTTCTTGAAAACCCCATGCTGTAGTCTCGTGGGAAAACCTCGGCAGGAACTTCATTCCACAATCTAAGTGTGCGCGTTTATTTTATTAGGAAGACCGTTAGACACTTATGGATATGCTATAGTCAACAGGTTGGGAATATTTTGGTGTGTACGATTGTGTATAAATATTGCTTCGCTTTCATTTGTGTGGTAAAACGCTTCAGTTATATTTGTTCCTAAAAACAATATTGTCCATACTAATTTTATTACTTTTATTATACCGTCAATCATAATAAAAAAAAAATTTAGACCCGTTCTTTACGAAAATTGCGCGGAAATGAAATTTCTTACACTTATTTTATATATAGAGAAGTGCCGAATAGGATTTTTTTAATTATGCATAAAAATACATTACATTAATAATAGTATATTACAATAGAAATATAAACTTATAACACACGAGGCGGAATTTCAGACTGAGCCGAAGGCAAGGACGTAACAAATCAGAGTGTGTTAAATACGCAGATATATTGTATGACGTTTTTAACACACTTGCGAGGAAGCAGAATAAAAAATAATGATATTGAATTTTGCCACTGTCCCGGCGTTTTTCTTTTTTATATCAGCGCATTGCCTTCTAACTGGCGCCGCGCAGGAGTCAGTTCTAAATTTTATATTAAAAAATAGCAAATATTGCGGTTATGGAATATAACCTTTTCTATTTGCGTTTATAATACACGCGTGTTTTATTAACTGCTTTATATAAAGAAATAATCTGTTATTTATTAATTAAAATTTACGAGCAAGTGTTTTGAAAATTAAACATATAACATTTTGTTCTATCAGTCGAGAAATTCAATTACTATATATTTGCCGTTATTTTCTACAACAAGTCGTAAAAAGCCTCAAACGACCGTAAAACAATAAATAGTGTGTAATATAAGGCGTACGTTAAAGATAAACGTTAATAAAAGAAACTGCGATTATTTAATTGATTTTCATACTGTAGAAAATATTAATTTGCCCTCTCTTCGTTTATATTTGCTATTTTTATAACGCGTTGAGTGAATTTACACTCTTATATCCAATTTTTCTTATTACAAAAAAAAACCGTAATCGCTTTTAATTATAGATTCTTTTGTCCTATTCTTTTATTAAAGTTATTTCGTTAATTTAATAAAGACAGTGACGAAACATCTGGTAGTTACCGATTTTGTAGCGTGCTTTCGTATTCTAGTACAATTGGAAAAATATTTATTATAGGTTTTCTTTGTAAAATATATTCACGGTGTGTTTTGAATAGTTTTGATAGTAGCGTGTGGTTTGAGCTTTTATAGTGAGATTTTCGCTTTTGATTTTAACAAATTAGTACTGGTAATATGTTTTCAAAATACGATGATGTATAATCTAAATAATGAATAAATTGTGAACCATATTTTCTATTTGTTGATCTTATTCATTAGTTATATATAGTTCTTGCCTGCCTTCATCCCATTATTTGAGGTCAGCGCAATTAATATATATATATAAATAATGAATAAGAGGATAATAAAGAAATTACCGTTAATATAACAATCTGTAGCGTCTATTGTATAATTCTATTATATGTATATATATTTTATATATAAAATTCTCGTGTCACAGTTTTCGTTCCCATACTCCTCCGAAACGGCTTGACCGATTCTCATGAAATTTTGTGAGCGTATTGAGTAGGTCTGAGAATCGGCCAACATCTATTTTTCATCCTCCTAAATGTTAGGGGTAGTCCACCTCTAATTTTTTTTTTATTTTAACGCTAAACAACGTTTGCCGGGACAGCTAGTAAATATATATTATTCTACCACATCCGTAACGTCAGTCTTAATTGACCGATCATAACATTTTTAGTGCTCTTACGTGTACATGCTACAGGTTTAGTCGGAAAGTATAATAAGAGGTTACTTACGATAGTGTAACATATTGCTAATAACTAATTGATCCCGAGTGATATTATTTCTGAAAGGGAATATTCATAAATTATTTTTAAAAATAAACATGTATTATTTATTACAAAAAATCGGCAACTCTTTGGTATTCCATCAACAACAGTCGAAATTCTTGTGGCTTAGTAGAGCGACTATTTCTAATATGTATATATGTATATATATGTGTTATACATGTATATATATATTTATGTGAAAGAGTTTTTGAGTTATGAGGGGGTCAAAAGTGGCTCCAAATGATTCGTGTAAATATACACACGGCGCTGCTCGACAGTTTTCTTACTTGAAAATCGGCTTTGACACGCTACCGCGTGTCTAGATATACATATGTATGTAATACAATAGCCTAGAAAAATTATCACCAATTAGACTTGACAAATCTGGTGATATCGCTCTAGTAACTTGATTTCATAGGTGAAGGAATTTACCCAGCACAGTGACATTACTGGGTCGAATACTATCGTTATAGCATAGTAAGGTATAACACTGCTTCGCGCAATGAGTTATCAAGGATTGATGCTCGATTGAAACAATAAGAAAATGAACTTTTCTAAATTGACTCAGCCCTGCGTATGATCGTTTTTGGCCTTCAAATGTTTGTTATTCGAGATTTCTTAGCACCTTTTGTTTGAGAATTATATCGCTATCCAGATACTTTGACTCGGCTTTATGGTAAGTCAGTGTAATTATTTCAAGAAACTTCCGTATTCATCTATAACGACTGCGTACTGGTATGTTTATCTCTCTCACTCTATCTCTATCCTTATCTGGTGGACGGGTCACTTCGCAAGGTAAGTGAATTTACTAACTTAAATCTTTCGCAGCCATCTTGTCACTAAAATGGATTTTTTTTTATTAATGTATTCTACATTGTATATAATAATTAATATGAAGATCATGTATAAATATGAATATAATGACTGTGATATAAAAATATGTATAATAGAACGATATTGGAATTTGTGTTGAAGTGTAAAAAATGCACGCATGCGTGATACACATCTATTTATAATCGACTTATATAGAATGTTGCTGAAATTGCATAACAATCTGAAATCATGCGATTTTATACCTAATTGTAATTAATTTTAGGCATAAAATCGATAATGAAATCAGATTTCATATCGACTAATGTCCCTCGGATGTTAGTTGAAATATGAAAATTTACAATGGACTGATATATGGGGAAGTCATAAATTATTAATGAAATATCCCTTTTATATAATAATCTCTCTCAATTCACACAGCGTCAATTAGTACCAAACTAAGAACAGCTGCAGAACTTGTATTATGGGTACTACAAAACTGTTTTTATTTTTAAATACATTCATAATATTCATAGAAAACACCAGTGATACAAATAATCATACTTATGAATAGAAATGTTTGTACCGTGCGAGAAATAGAACCCGCGAATATCGAAGCTAGGCGGTGTGGTGTGCTAAACCGATAGTGCACTGATGCTGTCGAAAAAATGTAAATATGGACTTACTCTACTCAATATTATAATGATTAATTCACTGGCCACAAATAAGAGTTTATAAATACAAAGTGATCTTACACTTTTATATTTCGTACTTTACATTTTTAAAAAAACTTAATAACATATAAGTTTATGAACATGCAACGTGATCTTACACTGATCTGCTTTTATACTTCCTACTATACAATTTTTACTATAGCAGTTGCTTTTTTAAATTATCATATACTCCTCAAGATTCCAATGTCTATGAATTCATAAAAATATAAATACCAAATTATTTTCCAATTTTACCTGTTGTTAGGTTAATCATGACTTAACCGTTAACATATAATCATATTCTCATATCTAATAACATACAAGTAATAAATACACGCTTTGTATATAACCTATTCACAATTTCAACACTTTGAAAGCATACTGCACCGCTTAGACACCAACTGCCAATGTGACCCTCACGCGGGGGTCACCAGTGACCCCCCCAGTGGCCTCTAGTGGCCCCTACAAGCGCGCGTGTCCGCAGAGCCGCGGTCGGGAGAGACCACGCCGGGTTCGAGGCCGGGCAGTGCACTAGCGGCAGCGGTACCTCGTCGTCCTCACACCAGCTCTGCTCGTCGACCCCGGCCGGCCTCCATTGCAGGCACTGGCGTTAATACGCCCAGAGGTAACCGCCCCAATGGGAGATTTCTTTTTTTTTTTTTCTTTTTTTATTTATTGATCGAGTGTTAGGTATGTTTTTAATAAGAATTCGACTGCGTTCTTTTTTTATTTATTGAGTGTCAAAAATTTTGAAAATAACACTCACTCTGCATTCTATTTTCATAATTTTGTTTCCTAATGAATAATGTTTTTACTTAAATATTGTGTGCGTTCTATTTTCAAATTTAATTTTTATTTGACGAGTGTGAAGAATGTTCGTTTTTAATATTTTTTGTTTTCTCACGTATCGAAATGCATTGGGTTTACTTAGATATCGTGTGCGTTCTATTTTCAAATTTAATTTTTTAATTAACGATTTTGAAGAATGTTAGTTTTTAATAAGTTTTATTTTCTCACGTATCGGAATGTTTTAGTAAAAATCAATAACGTTCTATATTTTAAATTTATTGAGTGTCAAGAAAATAGAAGGCACTCGAAGTAAATACCTTATTTACTTATTTCGAGTGCCTTCTATTTTTAATTTATTTTATATTTTTATCAATATTTATCGAGTGTGATATATATTTATTTTCTCTCGTATTGAATGCAGAACGCATTGGAATGTTTTTACTCAAAAATGCGAATGCGTTTCTTTTTATTTATTTATTGAGTGTGAAGAATGTTCGGTTTTTTTTAGGTGTCGAATATGTTCTATTTTCAAATTTTTAATTTGTGTTACCTCAAAATATATCTAATTTTTTAACCAAATAGTAATGGCGTCGTGAACACAGTTTCTGTTTTATATCTCCACTCGCTCAAACGTGCGCAACAAATAACATGGATAAAACTATGGATAAATGTCGCTTTTATGTGTGAAATTGTTACTGCAAGTCCCTTGTATTAATAACGGGCTCATGTTATTTGTTGATATCTACCTATATACAAGTATAGTGAGAGAAAAAGATCTTCTGTCCCATTTACACTCAACAAACGTAGTAATGTTATTCGAAATACAATTCTGCGTTCACGTTGCAACTATTTGGTTTCCATTACATGATTCCGATTGGACATTTTTTGTCATAATCAATTAATATTTAACATTTCTAATATTATCTCAATGTATGCTGCGTGAGCTTGGCTTTATATGTTGTATATAATAATTCAATGTATTAATAATTTAATATTAATTATTGAATGTTAATGTCGTTATTGCCATTAGTAATATATTTTTATTTTTAATATTGTATTTACAGTAGTTTTCTTAGATTACTGTATATATGTATTTAATAATTATTTTTCAGATTTCAAATAGTAGGTAGTTATTAAAAATATAAATATGATGTACCCAAAACTTTATATATTGTCTATTATTGAAGGCTTATAATTTAAAAAAATATGTAAATATTCTCACGACTATTGTACAACCCAACACTAAACTCTGGACTACTACAGCGTCCTCTGGTGTGAATAAATAAAACAACCAGCGATGTTGGATTGCTGAACTTAAAAAGGGGTTTATTTTTATAAAATGGCATACATATATACACAGTAATACAACGAAATCATATCGACGTCTACTTTTAACACAGCGCCATCTAGTATGTAGCTCGAGGACTAAAGCTTCTATATAAAATAACAAACTTATACATTCCGCCCACCAAGGACATGATTTGTCCTTCACACTTGGAGCCGCCCACCATGGATACGTAATAACAAATGTAGGGCAATAACATATTATAAACAACTATAGATAGTAGGGCTTAAAAAAAAATAAACTAAATAATTAATTAACAAAAATGAGTAAATCAACACTAACACTATAAAAAAAATAACAATTTACTCTGTAATAGGCAGTACACATAACTTTGAAGTGGGGCGTTTAATTAGTGAATTCTGATTCCTAATAGTAACTACCCGAGTGATGTTATCCATGCCTGGATGTTTAGCAACCACTCTCCCGAGCAACCATCGACAAGGAGGTAAGTCGTCTTCTTTTACTAAAACTACATCCCCAACGTCAGGTTCTGGTTTTTGATGTGACCACCTATACCGATGAAGAAACCGTGTAAGGTATTCCTGAGACCAACGCCTCCAAAAATCTTGCGTCAATCTTTGAACCAACTGCCACCTACGAAGATTAGATATGTTGGACCTTTCAAAGTTGTAATCTGTAGGAGCTAGTAATGGTCCTCCGATGAGGAAATGCCCTGGTGTCAAAACATTTATTGTATCCTGTTCTGAGTCTATTCTGGATAGTGGACGTGAATTTAAGCACGCTTCTATTTGTGCTAAAGTTGTGGACAATTCCTCGTAAGTTAAAATTAAATCTCCAACTATTCGCCTTAGATGAAATTTGGTAGATTTTATCCCGGCTTCCCATAACCCTCCAAAATTAGGAGAGCGTGGTGGTATAAAATGCCACGTAGTACCTTGTGTGGCTAGAATTTCGGCTACCTCTGTTGAAATTTTTTTATTCTCAGAAGCGAACAAAGTTCGTAATTCGCGCGAGGCGCCAACAAAATTTGTTCCATTATCGCTCCAAATATCTGTACATAAACCTCTGCGAGCAACAAAACGTCTAAAAGCCGCCAAAAACCCTTGTGTGGTAAGGTCTCCAACCAACTCAAGATGTATCGCCTTAGTGGCCATACATATGAATAGACAAATATATCCTTTTGTAGAATGATAACCGCGACCCTTTGTAGTTTTAACATTCACAGGACCTGCATAGTCAACACCACTACACTGAAAGGGTCTTCCTGGAGATACTCTAGCTGTAGGTAATTGACCCATTAATTGAGTAGAAGTAGTTGCAGAGTAGCGAATACATTTAACACACTTGCGAACATAGGCTTTAACTAAATATTTCGCACTCAAAATATAATATTTAGTCCCAATAAAGGACAACATAAGTTGTGGTCCTCCATGCAAAGTTTTCGTATGCGCATCAGCAATAATAAGTTTTGTAAATGGTGAATTTTTTGGCAATAATATAGGGTGTTTAGCATCTAAATTGAGTTGTGATTTTTCAAGTCGCCCACCTACTCGTAAAACTCCAGAACTATCAATAAACGGATTTAACGATTTCAGCGGACCCTTAACTGTACTGTACTCTATATTTTTATTAATCTGAGCTATTTCTTCATGGAAATTTTGTTTTTGGCAAATTTTTATGCAAGTTTTTAAAGCACCCGCCAATTCCTGTGTTGAAAGAAAAGTAGTACTCTGTCGCTGTTGTCCGGTACGTAGATTTAAAAAACGTTTACAGTATGATATTACTCGAATTAATCTTGTCAATGAATTGTATCGATCCCAAAGTGTAGTTTCAGTGACTGTTAGGTGTACTTTACTTTCTTCTAAATGTGTTGCAATATCCTTTGGTTTATTGTAATGCACCTCATGTTTATGTAAAAACTCCGGTCCGTTAAACCACATTGAATTTTGCCATAGATCTGATGGACTAACACCTCGAGAAGCACAATCGGCAGGATTCTGTCCTGATGTTATATGTGCCCATTGTTGAGAATCTAAAGTTGACAAGATCTCGGACACTCTATTGGCAACAAAGGTTTGCCATTTACTTGGATGGCTATTAAGCCACGCTAAAACCACCGTAGAGTCAGGCTCGAATGTCTTTTTTAGGGATGCCTAAAACTTCAGCTACCTCGACCAAAAGACGTGTCACCAATACGGCACCACATAATTCCAATCTAGGGACTGAAATTTGTTTGATTGGCGCGACTTTGGTCTTAGCAGAAACCAAAGTGACATGGATATTACCATGTTCGTCTGTTAATCGTATATAAACGGCTGCTGAATATGCTATCTTCGACGCATCTGAGAAGCCATGTAACTCGACTCGTGAAGATGTGAATTTAGTTCCGAACCATCTCGGTATGTTAATTTTTGTTAGCTCCGACAAGCCTGTGCGGTAAGTATGCCACTCATTAATTATATTATTTGGAACTTCATCATCCCAATCTATTCCCAAGATCCAAAGCTTCTGAATTAATACCTTTGCTATAATCACGCTAGGGCTGCCCAACCCAGCGGATCAAATAATCTTGCTATTTCTGAGATAATCTTTCTTTTTGTTACAGGTCCAGACACCGGAGGAAGATTCACCGAATATTGAAAGGTATCTGCTGAACGATTCCAGGTAAGTCCTAAAAGTTTAACTACTTCATCTAACTTTATCTTCAACCCTTCCTGTGCATGTTCATTTCCCTGCTTTATTTCATTTAACAAATCTTCACTGTTAGTCATCCATTTTTGCAGTTGAAATCCACCTTTTTGTAATAGTTGATTCATTTCTTGATAAATAATAACACCTTCTTCAACAGTATCACAGCCTGTCAGAAGATCATCCATGTAGAAGTCGTTTTTTACTCTTTGAACTACACTTGGACAATTATCGCCTTCATCTAATGCAACTTGTTGCAGTGTCCTTACAGCTAGATAAGGAGCAGCAGCCGTACCAAAGGTAAGTCTTTTTAATCTATAATCTTCAATTGTTCCATTTTCATTATCTCCCCATAGTACTCGCTGAAATTCTGCATCTTGTTCGTACACCTTAATTTGCCGATACATTTTGTTGATATCAGCAGCTAAACATATCTTATATATTCTCCACCGCATGATTAAATGGCGCAACTCTGGCTGAAGTGTTGGCCCTATCATTAATAACTCGTTTAATGATACACCATATTCATTTTTTGCAGAAGCATCGAATACTACGCGAACCTTTGTTGTATCTTTGGCATTATTTATCACTGCATGATGAGGTAAGTAGAAACTTAATCTATTTTCTTTTTCTGTTTCTGGTATCCTTTCCATGTGCTCTAGATGTAAGTACTCTTTTATAATCTCTGTATACTTTTCTTTCAGTGTCTCATCTCTATTTAATTTCACCATTAATCTCTTCAATCGTATTGTAGCTATATCTCTCGAGTTTCCGTTAATATATTGCAGATTTTCAGACTTAAATGGGAGTTTGACAATATATCGTCCCTCACTGTCTCGTTTTGTAGTTTCTTTATATAGTTGTTCACAGAGTATTTCTTCTTCTGTCAAGATTCGTTTTAAAGTATAAGGATCACTTTCAATTTCCCAAAATTTTTTAAGGTAATCATTCTCATGCGTACATAAATGCAAGGCTGTAACATTAGTTACTGATCTAAATGATGCTTCCTTTATTGTACCAGAAAGTATCCATCCTAGCGACGTAGCTTGTGCCACTAGTGTACCATGAGGTCCTCTTTTAACCCCATCTTCAATAATCTGTCCATATATCTCAGCTCCCAACAAAATATGGATTTTGTTTGGAGTGTGATATTGAGGATCTGCAAGTTGTATTTCATTTAAATCCAACCAGTCCAATTCAACTACTTTCTTATTTGGTAGAAAAGTAGTAATTGTTTTCAGTACATATGCTTGCACCATGATAATTATTTCAGGTTTGATGCGTGAGCGTATCTTCAGCTGGACCATATACTTGGCAGTTACATTTTTATTTCCTTCTAGACCAGATATCGTTCCCTGTACTGGAATTTTCTTTACCCCCAAATATTGAGCGGTCGCTTCTGTGATGAAGGATGCTTGTGAACCTTGATCCAGTAACGCCCGTATAAACCCACTCTCCCCGGTTTGAGTATAAGCTTGAACGAGTGCGGTGGCAAGTAATACTTGACTATGAACTGCAGTTTGACCAGCAGAAAAACATGAAACTATATTACTAGATGTTTCCCCACTATCTATATCTACTTTTTTATCTTTACTTTCGACTTTATTTGTTGAATTACCAGAACCTGAAATTTCTAAATGGTCCCTTTTCTGTGGATGCAAGAGAGAGTGATGCCTACGTTTACAAACTTTACAAATAGTAGTACTCTGGCAGAACTTGGCAGAGTGGTTGCCTCCAAGACAATTGAAACACAAACTATTTTTAGCTACAAATTCATAACGGTGAGTATAATCTAATTTTGCGAATTTTTTGCAGAAACATAATTTATGCGTTTCCGAACAGAATTCACAATTTATTTTAGCCACGTGCATACAAGTTTTAGTTTTAGGATAAGACCCGCTACTAGGAATTGAAGATCGCTGTTTTGGTTCTATACATTCTAAAGCCCGAAATCTACTTTGAAGAAATTCTGAAAATTGATTGAAAGTGGGTAGTTCATTTGAATTCTCAGCTGATATTTTCAATTCCCATTGTTTGCGTGTTTCCTGATCTAGTTTATAATTTATAATGTGTATTATAATAATATCCCATGTGCTAACATCTATATTCAAATTTTTTAACGCGTGTATACAATCAGTTGTAGTATCTAGTAACTCTTTTAAAACTGATGCGGATTCATTACCTAATGATCTTTGGCTAAACAATCTTTTTAAAATACAATTTGCCAAATATCGCTTGTTATTGTACCTATTCTCTAACTGTTGCCAACACTGTATATAGTTTGCAGAAGTAATCGGAACATGTCTAATTAATTGCTCCGCTTCTCCGGTCAAATGCCCCTTTAAATAATGTAACTTCTGTACATCATCTATTGAATTATTAGAATGAACCAAAGAAATAAACAAATCCCTGAAGGAATACCACTCCGTATATTTTCCTGAAAATTGCGGAATAATTATTTTCGGAAGTTTTACCGCAGAAGAGGACCCATTGCCTGCTTTAGAAGAACCAGAATCTTTATCACCACTACTAATTTTATTTTCATTAAAACTTTTTAAATATCTTTTAAGTGTGCTTTTATAATCAGAAAATATTTCTTCAGTTTTGTCATATATTTCATCTTTAACATAAAAAGTACGTTGTACATCTTCCCACTTATAATCCTTAAGTATTTGCTGATGTGTAGTGAGAAACTCAACCCACAACTGTTCTATATTATCCAGTTTAGTTTCTACATATGACTCCGTTATTCGGTCTTTCGGAGATTTTTTAAAGTTAATTTGTGCCTTTGATATTCTATTAAAATTGTCTCTTTGACAATTCAATAAACCTTCCATCTTATTTAATTACAGAAATTACAATTATATTTTAAAGAGTTAAAAGTAACAAGAATTGTACTAAGTCTCTAAACCTTTATACTTAGTAAATTATTCTATGTCACCGATATACTAGTACACAAATGAAAACTCAAACTATAAAATATTCTAAGTTCAATTTGAAAGTAAAAAATATAAGTTTTAAATTGTACTAAGTTCCTAAATTTTTAAACTTAGCAAATTATTATATGTTCCCAGTATACTACTACACAATTGAAAATCGAAACTATAAAAAATATTCTAAAACAAATAAAGAAAATGTCCCTAAATTTATAAACTTAACAATTTATTCTATGTAGGCTTATTACTATTCAATTGAAAATTCAAACTATAAAAATATACTAAGGCCAATTTTTAAGTAAAAAATACAAATGAAAATATTTGTACTAAGTTCATAAATGTTCAAACTCAGCAAATTATTTTATGTTTCTGACATATTACTATATAAATTAAAATTCAAACTATAAACTACTCTAAATTCAGTTTTACAGTTAAGAATTTTACAAGTGTTTGAACGTAATAAATAAAAAACCAGACATAGGTTCTCCGTATCAACTCTTTTCTTAAAACTATTAAAAGTGTTACAAATTTTACTAAATGTTATATAATAATTATTTTCTAAATTATTATTGTCCATATAACTTCCAACCTTATTTTTTCTCAAATAGAAAGTTCAATTTCGCGTAACTTCCGTAAATAAATTTAAATGTACTCACAATATTTTCCGTTTCACTCACACCACAACAATATTACTGCAACTGCACTTGCGCTTGTCACACCATGTGACATTTCAAGGTTACCGTGACGTCGTTGGCTCGCCTCTGACCTCTCACTCCAACGCCGTCTTCAGATCTGCTGTCTCGCTCACTCCTTGAGCGCTTAGCAACTCCGATGTCCTCCGATTGTAAACCGAGTAGCGAACCACTGCCCCTACTAGGTTCTATCTTCCGCCATATTACCACTTAATACTGGGGAAGATCGGCATCCGGCTCGAAGGACCAAAAAATGTACAACCCAACACTAAACTCTGGACTACTACAGCGTCCTCTGGTGTGAATAAATAAAACAACCAGCGATGTTGGATTGCTGAACTTAAAAAGGGGTTTATTTTTATAAAATGGCATACATATATACACAGTAATACAACGAAATCATATCGACGTCTACTTTTAACACAGCGCCATCTAGTATGTAGCTCGAGGACTAAAGCTTCTATATAAAATAACAAACTTATACAACTATAATTTTAGACGGTATGGTCAGAGAAGTAGTTTTAAGGTGAACATAACATAAGAAAAGTTTCACATTTCACCGAGAATATTAAAATATAATAATACATATAAACATTATGATAACATTATATGATTACCCGTGTCGTGTAGTTGTTTAGCATCATACTAGTGAACGCGTTTCCATTCGGATGTTACGCACTAAAGTACAGGTCAGCTCTGAATAGACTTATATACTTTTTAATACCAATTAATTGAAGTGTTATGTTATAATTGATTTTTTAAATTATTTTATGAATTATTAGTCAAAAATTGTATTATTATATATACTTTTTATTATTTGTATTTATTTTATCATATAGTTTTTTATGGTTGTAACTTATTATTTTTCTTCCGTGGCATTCTACTTGTTACTTTTCCATATATTTTTACTGAATACATCGCGGACTTAATCCAAAGCGAAAAAAAAATTAATAAACCAATTAATGAATGCACAAACCGATTGAATGATGAAATCAGGAGGCGCAGGCGACGCGAGCGTGGCGACCACGCCGTCGGTGTCACGTGACAGCACTGTGGTCGGCGTGGCGGCCGCCCCCCGCCGCGCCGCCACCACGCCGCGCCGACCGCGGCCAGTCTCCATGCACGCCACCACCAAGACCGCTCCCGGTATGTCATTTTAAACATTGATCATGTAGAGTTACAGGTAATTCCTATACGAGAAGGGAAACATTAATAGGGCTAAGGTTCGTGCCTTGAGAGAGAACAATGTCTATCAGTGGATTGCAGTGAACTGTAGATTATGATGATGATGATTCATTCATTCATCATATTTATTATTCTCCACCGTATGCCATAAACGCAATGTGAGTAAAAAAAGTTGCGTTCTGGAACTAAAAACGGATACTGAATAGAATAATCTAGAACGGACAGAGTAAAAATTAAAAAAGTATGATAGTAGATTTACAATTGTCACATTGACAGACAGTAATCAAGTGTTCACTTAGTAAGGGCACGCCGTAAATGGTATTCGGCAATTGGGAAAAACCAAATTCGGAACGCGCTCGTGAAATTGACGTGAATTCGAAATTCAAAATCGTGGAAAGTGACAGTGTGTGGTGTTCGTTATTTGAACGTTATGTACTTATAGACAAATAATATTAATAAAAACATACACTGTGCATGTGTATTGAAAACAAAAAAAAAATAATTAAAAAGAAAATTTATTCTGAGATACAACCTGAAAGAAATTTGTTCCTTATCATAATTATTTGTTTTAATTCAATATACGCAAGTATTATTTTATCATGCTCTAAATTTATGTTTATTGATTTGCAGTGTTATCGTTACCACCGGGAGAAGGCAAACCGCCGCCACACAGGAAACCAAAGCCATCCAAAGATCACGATAAGGTCAGTTCTAAACATATCCAATTCCCATATGTCATATATGATAAATTAGCTATTTGTAGGTACTTAAATGTTGTTTTTTTAAGGTCTTATGTGCTTTTCGTGTTACTAGTTAGTTCGTTCCTCGGCGCTTATAAGTTTTAGTTCATAAGATAGAACTTTTGGATAGGGTTGTCCACTGCATATGTAACAGGGTTACGTCTTTACATTGTGTATGTTTGTGTTGTGTAGCGCGGCAAGTCGACGTCCGCGTCACCCGGTCGCTCGTTATCACCGCCCGCGCGACGATCCGACCGCGACAAGGTCAGTCTTACACATCGTCATCGTCATCATAATCATCATCATAATCATCGTCATCATCATCATATTACATATGGAGATGGTGATGGGGATAAACATTGTTAATCTTATATTAAAGTCTTTAGTTTTTGGTAGTCCTCCTAACAATCAGAGAGAAATCAAAGCACGCTCTTTTTTTTTTCTTCCGTAAGTTACCTTGACAGTTTCACAGTACAGCGTAAGTTTGTAGATATTTCTAATATTGAAATATATTATATCCCATATTATTAATACGAATATTCATTGCCGAAACCTGACCACCACTCCTAGAAGCGTTACATTCTATACGTGATGAATTTTCGACCTTTATTGTTTCTACTCCCATATTGCGACACGTGTTTCGCCTCTGAACGAGGCAGGCATTGTATAGAGCTAGGATATAGCTTGAAATTTTAATATATAATATTATATGTGTATTTACAAAAAAATATTGTTGTAAGAATTTATATCAGTTGTCTAGAATCCATAACACAAGCTCTGCTTACCGTGGGACTGGCGCTGTGTTAAATGTCCAGGGTTATTTATTTATCTATCTATCTATACATCCATGCATCCATCCATCCACTCATTCATCCAACCATCCATTTATTTATTGTTTGCAGTCGTGGTCGGAACGTGACAAATCACAAGTGAGCGCTATAGAGGTGTCTCAGAAGTTGGAAGCGCTCCAGATACACAATGGAGACGATCACGCTCACAACCAAAACTTAGAGGATAAGGTATATTTAAATTAATTTAAAACCAACCCCGCTGATGTTAACGTCCTTTAAAATTTACGGCCTCGGTGGTTTAATGGTTTAGTATAATGTTATAATGCAGATGGTCGCGGGTTCGATTTCTTGCACGGTAAAAACATTGGCATTCAGTATGATTATTTGTACTGGTCTGGGTGGTTTCTATGTATATTATGAATATATTAAAAAAAAATGTGTTTTATTATTTCTGTCAGTTGTCTAGAACCTATAACAGAAGCTCTGCTTAGGACTACATGACGCTGAGAATTGTCCAGATTTATTATTGTTTTAAAGATTCGCCAGCAATTATGCAAGAATTATTAGGAAAGGACATAGTAGTTAAACACTAATTTATAAGTAAATAATAAATAAATATTACATAAGTAAATAATAAAATAAGCCTAATATTTAAATTTCACTATCTACAATTGGGGCTCCAGATTATTATAAACAAATATGTAATACATAGTAGTGATTTGTTTTATACATAGTATAAAACAAAGTCGCTGTCGCTGTCTGTATGACCCTATGTATGCTTAAGTCTTTAAAACTACGCGCAACGGATTTTGAAGCAGTTTTTTTAAATAAATAGAGTGATTCCAGAGGAAGGTTTATATGTATAATACTTACACCCGTACGAAGCCGGAGTAGGTAGCTAGTTTCTAATATAAAGAAATTTTTAGGTAACCGAAGTCAAAGAAAACATAGAGGTAGAACCATCGAAACCCGAATATAAAATAGTAGATATACCAATAGAAGATGAACAGAAGCCTGTCGAAAAAGAAGTCAAACCACCTGCGGTGACCGAGCAAAAGCCCGCAGAGAAAAAAGAAGACCAAAAGGTTGAAAAGAAGGAAGAGAAGAAAGTAGAAAAAATACAAGAACCAAATGTGGAAAAGAAAGAGGAAGTGAAGGTAGAAAAAAAAGAACAAAAGGATGAGAGAAGAGAAGAAAAGAAGGAGCCCTCGCTAGAGAAGACTGACGAATCTGAAATGACAGGTAAGTGTAAAAAAAATATCACAAAATTGTATTCTGTGTTTCGGTTGTAGGGTGCAGATTGAGCAGTGAAATTACAGGACCCGAGATATAATGTCTTAGTCCTTTAATTGACGATTACCATTTACCATCAGGTGGGACGTTTATCTTTCCAATTATACTAATAAACCTAAATATCTACAATAGAACACGTCTTGATCAATACTCTGGGACCATATACAGTCAACCCTCCTATAACGCGGTGAGTGCGTACCGCGGTGTATGGAAACCGCGCTATAAGAAACTCGGATTTAACCATACAAACCAGGCTAATTCGTAGCGCGTTCTATAACCGTCTACCGCGTTGTATGGAAACCGCGCTATAAGAGACTCAGAATAAGTACAACTCACATCAATCGTACCGCGTTATATGGAGACCAATAAATACAAAAGACAAGATAAATTATAAATTATTTTTATTGAATTGACGAGTATGAACTCTTCAATTCAATAAAAATAAGGAAATGATGAAAAAAATTAAACAAAAACTAAACTAAAAAACTGTTTTCCAACAAAAACAAAAGAAAGACTTTTGTAAAATGATGTAATCTTTCAACACTCATCCTCACTGTCAGATATGAGTCGCCTAACTCGCCTTCTTTTAATGGGCAAAATGTCTTCCTCACTTGGTTGATCTTCACATTGGTTTTAAGCGGCTAAGACATAAGCAGAACGTATATAGTGTTACAGTTTCGTTAGACACACACACGCATGGCACGCTGTCGATGCGAAACTATTTAGTTAATAGAAGTGGAAGATAGCGCATGAGGAGCCCCACCCGTGAACCACGCTGATATAAACATATCCAGTTAAAACCATTCATTGGGTGCACGGAAAGAACTGATGGGACGTTGTTGAACGGAAACCGCGCTGTAAGAGTACCGCGTTATAGGAGGGCTGTCGCAATTTCAGCTCCGCGTTATATGGAAACCGCGTTCTGAGAGTACCGCGTTATAGGAGGGTTGACTGTAGTAACATTTACTACTTTTTTTTATTGTTTGTTCCAATTCCTTTTAATTTTTCCTTATTATGCAACCTTATATGTTTTATTTTTTACAAGATGAGTGTACAAAATTGAGTCATTGTTTATAAATAAATTATCTAAAACGGTTAATTAAGACTATTAACTAATTTCTTTGAATAACAAATAATTATTATTTAAGAATATGTATATATTTATACTTTGTTACTGTACTCTTGTTCTTACCCAAATTTTATATTCTCTGTTAATTCTATAATGTGTTATTGTCTTTATATGTAGTGTTGTCAAATTTATCAGAATTAATCTGTTATTATTTGTGAAAGCCTGTCAGTGGCTTAGTATGTTTTTATACCGATGGGTTTTCCTTTAATAAATGAATAAATAAATAGTTCTTTTGTCTACATTTACATGCTCATACTTTCCTGCTCAGATTATTTGCGCGTGTAAGAGCGTAAGTATAAAGGCAACCAATGACAAAACAAAACTTAGCGCATATAAGAGCGTACGTCTAAAGGCAGCTAATGACAAAACAAAACGTAGCGCATATAAGAGCGTACGTCTAAAGGCAGCTAATGACAAAACAAAACGTAACGCGTTTAAGAGCGTAGGTATAAAGGCAGCTAATGACATAATACACATTATGTTTGGTCAGCGTCAATGAGCGCGCGCCGCATCACGACGGCGGAGGAGGCGAAGGCCGCGCTCGCTGAGAGGCGGCGCCGCGCGCGGGAGGAGGCCGAGCGGCAGGCCGAACTAGACAGGCAGAGGTAACCGGTTTTTTTATGGATCACTAGCTGTGCCCGCGTGAAATTTATTGCCTATATTATATTCTGATTAGCCCATCGTGGTAGATTCGCAAGGAATAGATCACGAAGATTTCCAGGGGATCAGCGGAGGTCAACCTGATACCATATCAGGTTGACCTCCGCGGATCCCCTGGCGGATATTGTCAGAAATGGGATCATCAGTCCACATTACTAACAATTCCCTTCTTTAATATTTAGGGTCAAAACGGGTGTTCTTTGAGTTGAGATGGAAATACCCTCATTTACATCTCAATTCAAAGACCCTAATGGGCTAACATTTTATCCGTACCATATCAAATAAGAATGTAATATTTTGATATTTAGGTACTGATTATTATTTACTGATTGTAGATTGCAGCGCGAAGCAGAAGAGGAGGCTGAACGACAGCGGCTGGAGGAAGAGCGACAGAGGCGCGAGGAGGAGGAGGCTCGCGAGCTGGCGCGGCTGCAGCGACAGCAGGAGGAGGAGAAGCTGAGGAAGGCCATAGAGGTATATATAGTTCTGACTGATCATGATATAGGTGTACTTGAAGAGAAACAGAGAAAGACCATCGAGGTATATGTAGCCTCTGATTGATTATGATATGGCTTTATCTGACTGGTTATCATAATCTATTTAACCACGAATTTTTTAACGATGGTATCCAGGCTGCATATTGCTAGCAATGGGGTTTTTAATCCACATTACTAACACTCCCCTTCCCTCCTAAAGCACGTGCCTATCAAAGTGCCGACTGTCATTCCCCTTTTTATTTGTATCGGATAGGCGGCGCAGCAGGCGGAGCGCGAGGAAGCGGAGCGAGTGTCGAGGACGGAGGCGGAGCGAGCCGCGCGCGTCAAGGAGGAGGAGGAGAAGAGACGCGCCGCCGAGCTGGCGGAGCGGAGGTAGGAGGAGGAGGAGGAGGAGGAGGAGGAGAGACGCGCCGCCGAGCTGGCGGAGCGGCTGCGGCGCGAGGAGGCCGAGCGCGAGGAGCGCGAGCGGCTCGCGCGCAAGCAGCGGGTCGAGGCCATCATGGCGCGCACCAGGCTCAAGAAGGTAGGAGGAGGAGGAGGAGGAGGAGGAGGAGAGACGCGCCGCCGAGCTGGCGGAGCGGCTGCGGCGCGAGGAGGCCGAGCGCGAGGAGCGCGAGCGGCTCGCGCGCAAGCAGCGGGTCGAGGCCATCATGGCGCGCACCAGGCTCAAGAAGGTAGGAGGAGGAGGAGGAGGAGGAGGAGGAGGAGGAGAGACGCGCCGCCGAGCTGGCGGAGCGGCTGCGGCGCGAGGAGGCCGAGTACGTAGTACTGCGGTACTACGAGCGTCACATGATGACGTGATATCCGTATTGCCATTTACATTTATAGGCACTCGCCACCAGATGGAACATAACTGTTAAGAAAACAACGACTGTATAGCTGTTAGGAAGAATCTGGTCCAGAGGAAACGTGACGTCAGGACCCTTATTGTTCCGGGGGTTTCTAGGCGTTGTTCAGTATATAGTAGGGCTACTATTCTTAAAGATTGTCTCGCGTAGCTCGCGCCGTTAGGTGAAATTATTTAAACGGAATGTACATAAAAAATAAGTACCTTCATTTCTTAACATTATTACTACAGTTAAATTAAAAACGTCTATATTTGTTTGTGTTATAGCAAGCGGAAGAGGATAAGAAGCAACAAGAGAAAGCCGGCAGCCAGCCGGCGGAGGCGGCGCCCGCGGCCTCCAGCGACAGCCCGGGGCCGCCGCCGGAGCTCCCCGGGCCGCCTCACGCCACTGCGGCGCCGCCCGCCGCCGACAACGGGAACGCAGTCGCCACGCAAGATTTGTTAGGATTTGGCACTAGTCAGGTAACTGACTATGTATTCTGCCAAGCAGAAGAGGAAACGCCACTACACATCCTATGTGGTTGTAGCCTACTCGTGCTTAAGTGAAATATCTCCTTTGGCTTTCCAAAAGAGTACACTATACCCTGAGGAGATAAAAACTATTGTTCCTAAAAATATCCTTTAATTCTTAAAGGCCGGGTAACGAATTTTGAAAAAAAAAGGGCGAGCACAATACATCTATGTATGTCGCAGTGCTACAGATCTTAACACCTGACAATATCCCCCTGGAAAGCATCGTGATAAATTCGTTGTGAATTTGTTATGACTATATACTGACCTGAACTCATCTTATCATCCTCCACTGGTACCCCGCCAGCGTATACCCTTAACGCAGACGGGTGCACCATTCCATTATCATCCATAAAAAAACACCTGACAATAACCCAAAACTTTCAATAAAAATGGTATTCACGCATGGGTATCTCTGTATTACGTTCACTTAACAGTCGCTGCTAGATGACGGTTACTTTACAAACACTTTAGGAGTTATTAATTTATAAATCTTAAACATGCCTTTGGACTACAAACTCTCTCTCTAATAAAAAATATAACTTGAATAGAAAGTGAAATGTCTTGAATCGTACTCTCATGATATCATGATATTATAATCATACTCTCATCATCATCATCATATAATGAGTACGCAAAAGAGTGAACACAAAAAATAGTTAAATGCAATCACTCAATATTGCGCACGCTGATTTTTCCGCGCTAAACTGTACCGCCTACGTGTTCGATATTTAAATCCGTTTCATGAAAAGATTTATTTCAGCAATAAGGCCGCCCTGTTCATGTGACCTTTAAATATATTGTGTATGTCTTTTCTTTACTGTACGTTACAAATAAAGTATTGTTACAATTGCAGCCGGAGCCGTCGTCGGGCGCTTCTCCCGCGGTCACCAACAACGGGAACCTCACTGCCGACCTACTGGGACTGTCCCAACACAATAGTGTATGTATCACATCACGTCGTATCACATGTTTTTTTTATACTACTAGGTGGCAAACATGCATACAGCACAGCCCATCTGATGGTAAATGATTACGGTAGCCTATGGATGTCTGAAACACCAGATGTGCTACGTGCGTGTTGTTGAACTTTATATACCTTCTTGAAAAACCCTATACTGTGATCATCATTCGATTGCCTTGCCTTTATCTTAATATATTCTGCTCTCTATCGGTCGTCATAAAAACTCTTCTTTTATTCATATCATCTTTCACACAATGTTCATCTTTTCTTGGGATCCAAACATATTTTGTCCATAAGATATCCAGATTCATATTATAATTTCGTGGGAAAACATGTTAATTCCACATGTTACATGAGTAATATCGTACCTCTCGCTTTTTCACAATCCATAGGAGTGATTTCGAAAAAAGATACAGAAGTATGTAATAATAAGCCTCGTAACTTAAAAAATATGTATCTATCTATATCTGTCATATGTCTAGTACCCATAACCCAGGCTCTGCTTAGTTTAGAGACTAAATGGTGCTGTGTGAATTGTCATGACGTTATTTTATTGTTATGTATTCATTACAGATCGAGGACAAACCAGAAGAGCAGTCGACAGTCAACAAACAGATAGACAACGCACCAGCGCCCGAGACCAACAATGGTAATCAAACTACCAACGTTGGCCACATATCCGCCAATTTCATACAAACCGAACGCCTCAACGAAAGTCAAACAAAGGCCGATGTTTCCAAACTAATAGAAGATGACTTCACAACGCACAACGGCCACGGGGCACATAATCATCCGTTGACACTGCAAAATGCTATTTAATTACATTGTAATAGGGTTGGAAATTGAATGTTTTCATAGCGTACATATTGGCTGCCAGGTGGAGTGGCTTACGCGACACTGAAAGTGCGGTCCGGTGGACACGGGCGTTGATAATATTAAACATCAATCGAGTGTATATACGTAATTGATATTTATGACCTGTAGGTTTAAAGGCGTTAATTCCATGACTAATTCGTAGTTTGATAATCGACTATCAAATATGATTCCAATATATGCACTGTATATAGTATGAAACAATTTTAATCATTGATTTTTATTAATCAATATTAACGTGACAAATTTAGCACTTATTTGAACTGCTGTAAAGTTGAAAATGATAAATCAAAAGAAGTCGACAGTATTGCCATCTCGTAATGAAAAAGAAAAGAATAATTTTAACCAATCAGGAGTGTTTATGGCAATGTGCGCTGTATAGAAGACGCTAGAACTAGTTTTGTTTTAATATAAATAATACGAACGGTGCCTTTGGTAGTTATTTTAGTTTAATTTTGGTGCTACACATTAACAAAACCTGTGTTGATATTTTTAGACAATATAGGAGAAATGTAGAACTAGCGTAGTAGAAATTAACAAATTGCATGTCCCAATTCGATACCTGGAATGAAGCGATACGGAATGTGTGAAATGGAACGTGTAGCCAATATGGCGCCCTCTTACCGATTGGTAAAAAACAGCCAATATTTATGCATTGGAAACGGCGTGTTGGCATCTGCTACGTCACGATATATTCGACGATGTAAACGAAAAATACTAGATTAAATATTTATTAAACCTAAATCAGTGTAATATAAATTTTATCAGATAAATTGCATGAAAAAATTGTTGTAATTGTGTATAAACCATTATATTGATATATGATGTTTATATTTTTTTTTATTTGAGAGTGGCAACACTGCAACGGCTGCCAATGAATTTGTAGCTTTTCAATGAGTATTTTTTTATTAGTAAATTATTAACTTTTGATATTTATTAAAGTATCATTAATCAGAATAGAGATTCAGATGGTTTGTTTCTTTAAAAAATATGCATATTTTTTAGTTTGAGTATTTTCGTAAATCGTCGAATAAAATGTCACGTAGCAGACAGATAGAGAACACTAAATTATAATAATATAATTATTAATGCATTTATATTGCAACTCCTTGATACTACAATGATTGGATAGCTTTTTTAATTTGCGTATAGGCAATAACAAAAGTTAATCACCGCTTGACGTTTTAAAATAGGGAATTATTAATATTTTCATTAAAAAATAGTATATTGCTATAGTATGTTCGAATCGAACTGAATATCATTATTATGGGACTAGATAGAACCTTATTTAATGATTTTCGTCGAATTATCATTGTTCACGTTTGATAGGTTGTGTATAGTATGCTGTGTTAGTACAGTCTTGTATTACGGTTATTTGTAAATTATAAGTTTTTATTTATTGTGATGTTTTTATTAAGAGGCCGTACTCTTGGGCACAGTAACGGCGCAATCTCGTATCATTATTTTCATTATTTTGTGGTTTGTTTTTCATTATTATTATTTTGCATCATTATTTCATTATTGTCTAGTTATGAATATAGTATTGGTAATTAGTAGTTATTACCCAGAATTAAAGTCATGTTTTGAACACCCGATTCATAGTATTTATTTTGTTCAACATACGATAAAGTTATGGTGAAAAATCCAACAGACAGTATTCCCTTCGTAATTTTAATGTAATATTTCATTCAGATTTGAAATAATCATATATAATTTAATGGTAAGTAAATTGCATTAATGAAATCTACCATTTTAATATATTTTAATGTAATGTATTGCGTAAAATGATAATAATAAAAAATATCCATCAATATGACATTGCGTCGTTACTGTTTCTCACCAGGGTGGGATCTTAAAATTTTATCCCGTTTGTGTATGAACCTAGTGAATGGGATATACTCTTTCGCTTTACGGAGACTTATCTGTGAGCGCAAGCGGGATAGATATATTTCAGAATTGCGTCCGCATTTGCGTGCACATGCTACTGTATCGGACTGAGATTAGAATATGAAATGGGCGTCTTAAGCCATTGTAACCAGTGATAAAGTAATTTGTTTCATATTAACAATGGACTTAGGTCGATATTTAGTCAACGTGTACCGCCCATACAATGATTGTATGATGTATCAATAGGTCTAACGGGATAAACTGGGCTGTAATCATTACACGAATGCTGTTTTAATGCAAAAACTCGAGGAAAGTCGATTTATTGAAATGAGATAGTTATAACAAGTTATATAGGCGTGAAGAGGATAGAGCTAACAAACATTCGATTGTTGAAACCGTTCTCACAAAAACTACTCGTCTCTGTCACACATTGTAGTTTTGACAATGTTTGAGAGTGATGACGCTAACTTTAGAATCTTCTAAATATATCAATCATTAGTCTAGTTATCAAATTTGCATTAAAATAGTATTGTCTTATTGCGAGCTATTCCTATAAGAAATCTATTCTTATACAAATGTACAAACAAATAATAAATCTTAACACCTTGACATAAAGTCGATAACTGTATACGCCTCATTATAGTGAAATATAGATGTAAGAGGCAATTCTCAAGTGTAATACGGCTCGCAACAAGATGTCATATGAAATATGCTTAACAAATAATAATTAATAAGTTATTTAACGACATGCATAAATAATTTTTGTATCATAAGTAGTTAGCATTAAAAAAATAATTATGTTTCCTTTAATACATCATACCTTTCTCTTTTATCGAGTCCTTTTTTTTTATTATTATTTTTCATAGGGTATTATTGAATTTATCTAAAAATCTTATTCGTTACCGAAGTTTACGACAAGCGTTATCTGTCAATCTTGAAAAAAAAAACAATAAAGTTACGGATTTAGAAGCGTGTCATTTTAGTTCCCTGGATGTGATAGCATGCGTGATCGGTAACAGTCATAGGACTGGTGAAAGGCGACTTACCATGTACTAGCAGGTGATACGTCAGTTGATTTTTTTATGATGTTGAAATGCTATTTGAATTACATTAAAAAAATCAGTCACAGACTTTTATAGCATTATTAATGTCCAGTTTCTTTATATGAGCAAGAACACTTCTAAATTATTGTTTTTTTTTTAATTAACAGAAGAAAAATGCTGGCTGTTTAATTTTGATAATGAAATCACTGTATTGTTATCCAGATATGTGTAGCGGAGTCATCAATTTCTAAATAAATCAATTCGCTGAATACAGCCGCTGTTTTGTATACTAACTTGCTTTATTATACGATGTAGTACTAAAATGTATTTTATATACTGACTACAGTGCTGTATTGTAACATATGTATACAAACAATCAATTATGTATACAAATTTATCATTACAGCTAAATTTCCAATGAATCTTATATGTAATATTTAATCGTTTCTGGTAATTAATGAATACTTATGTAGTAGTTTATGAAATTGTCATTCAATTTTGTTAACCTCATTTTCACAAGCTTATTATAAACTGCCTTAATTCAAAATTAATGCAACGGAAAATCGATTTTAATGTTTTAACTTTAAAGTCAATTTTACAGAAATATTTTTTTTTTATTAATGCATTTTATTATTAAGATATCGAATTTTACTATATAAAATTATTTCTAAATCATAGTTTATTGCGAGAACGCTTGTAAATAATATAAACGATTCGTTAGTGATAAACTGTGGTTGATAGAAATTACAGTGTAATTAACATCGGTATATAAAAATCCAAGATGCATAACCAGAGACTAAAAAATGTTTTTCATTTTTCAGTAATGTTTGTTATTTTATACATATCGAAGTATTGTAAAATTTTTAAATATATTATTTTCTACGTATATTATTTAAATTTATTAAGTGAATATATACATACTTTTTAAAATATTATTTAAATCAAGTGACTGACAATATATATTTAGACAAGATATATTTATGTTGTTATATTTGGGATTAAATGACGATTTGTGATGTTCATTTATTTGAATTACTACTTTTTCATATGTATGGGAATATCTTGGATTTTTATATGTCAATACTCATTCACTGATGGAGCTATATATTCGCTTCGAAGTATTATAAATACATTTGTTGCTAATTTCCGTTAGTGAAAATTATCGAGAAGCAACTTATATCAAGCCAGAAACTATGAAAGTTGCGCAGTGAACTCTTTCGCATGTATTTATTTTTACTGCGCAAGTCACGTGATGTTAAATATTGCTAGTTCGACTTTGTAAACAAATCATTACTTTTAAATTATATTCTTTTTTATTGTTCCATTTTCGAATCATGTTTTGACTATATACAGAGAGGGTCTTATGATTTTTTTTTTATTAATTTGAGATTGGATGTCGGTACATCACGGTGACTGACCGCCTTTTTATTTATTTTTAATTTGTGAGATAGATTCAACATTTTTAGCTTTCTTTATTCATAGTCACTTACAATTCGAAATTTGAATTATGAAGTTGACAGTTTTTTATCGAAATTATAAGCAACTAAAGCTGTCAGATGGAACATCTGTGTCAATGTTAATTTCAATCTGTTTAAATAGAATTGCAGAAAAATTTTTTGATATATATTGAAACCACTATTAGTATATAAATATACCCTAGCAGGGTTTGAAGTTTTCAGTCAATGCAGCTTATTATTAAGCATATTTCTTATAATTTGTCCAATAAAGTTTTATCAAGAAAATAGTACTGTATTCTATTTGCTTAATAAAAGTTCATCATAAATTAAAAATTGTACCTCAAAGTTGTGTTACGCTGTTATAAATGCCTTAGATGTTATAGAGCCTACTAACCACTAAACACGTGACACTTGATTTTTTTTATTTTTTTTTTTATATTTTTGACGTCGACTCTGTTATACAAGATGGCGGTCTGTCACTTGCGTGTGTGGGTGTGTGCATGACGTCACGGTGCGGTCCACACATTGAAAAGGTTGTTTGTTAGCGGTCATTAAGTATATGTAATGTATTTATGTATAACACTTTGAGACATGGCTTATCTGTTCTTATCCTTACACTATTATTATTATGTTAGCGATCGATGGATTTATAAGGAGAAAGTTTTATTAAAAAATATGAATTTATATGTGGTGTTTTATTTCATATTAGCTGTGCACGCGGTTTAACCAGCGTGTAATTTATAGCTTGTGTGTTGTTTTAATATTTAAGCTATATTATATTAAAATTTTCTTAAATTATTTTCATCCATCAACAGAATCTCCCGCTTTTATAATATTAGTAAGATACTGGACGTGGTAAATTTTGTAAAAAGTCGTCTGCATGGGTTCCATACCTCATTTCAACCGGAAAACAATTTCGTTGTAATATGTATAGATGTGATTCAAGTCATGGAGAAATACATATCCTAATCATAATATAGTCGATCAATGATCGTCTCCTCATAATATAAAAAATATAAGTAACTCTTGTGATTTACTTTAATTTCTATCTTAGGAAATTTGTGATATAAAATCAGAATAACAATTTTATGAATGATAATAGAATGTTGCATCCGCCTTCGCTAACGGTTTACACTGGCTGGACATCAGTGAGAAACGGTAAGTTGAGCATAATAGTAGGTAGGTTAGCCGATGGTGCCAAATTCACCAGAATTAATCACCATGCTTTCCAGGTGCAACCGAGTGAAGATTGTTATTTTAATCTTCACTCGGTTTCACCTGGAACATGGCTAGGGCTAGGGTCAACAGTCCATATTACCAACAATCCACTTTCCCCTACTTACTAAGACTTGAATTTGTTACCTGTTCTTCTCAACCGAAATAATTGTAAGCAGTTGTAAGATAATTATTAGCAGGCAAAAAATGTGCTGAGTAAATTATTTTGACATTGAATTCAGATATTGTATAGATCTTTTATATAATAAAATAGAACATTGTATATTCAAAATAAAACTGTTAACATTAAATCACTTTAACGGTCTGGTATTATTCACCAGTATGAAAGCGTGGGTTCGTCTCCATCACCGTAAAGTCAACTACGAGATAACTTTATAATAACTGTTTTATTTTATATACATATTAATATGTGGATATTATGACATATTCATGGAACAATTGCCTATTGAGTGAATCCAAAGCGTATGCGAGTCTTTTTTTATGGATCATAATGGAATGGAGCACCCGCCTGCGCTAACGGTTTACGCTGGCGGGGCACCAGTGGAGGATGACAAGATGAGCATGAGGTCAGGTCAGTTAGCCCATCGTGACAAATTCACAAGGAATTTATCACGATGGTTTCCAGGAGGAACCGCGTGGAGGTCAACCTGACATGGTATATTGCTAGTGATGGGGTCATGAATCCACATTACTAACAGTCCCCTTTCCCCCCGTATGCGAGTGTTGCCGCTACCAATCTAGACAGATAGTAATCCTCATCTCGAATGCAAACCAACCCAAATTAACGTCTAATTTAATTTGTTAATATCAACGAAATATCTCGTCAACAACTCATCAAATATTTACCCAACTGATGTCTCGAATATTCCATTAATTGAAGACAGATGTCTTGCCACTTACGCGCCGGTATGTCATGGGATTTGGTCCATGCCTACTTTGGAATCTCGAACAGCCATTATATGTAACTTAATTATATTACGTTGGGTTAACTAATGTAGGTACAGTCGTCTTCATGAATATATTGACAGCCGCGGTGGTCTAGCGATTTAGCACCGCCTTCCAATAGTTGCGGAGTCGATTCATCGCACGGTACAAAAAATTGTATTCATGAGTATGATATTATGATTGGGTATTTTATAGGTATGTATAATACATATTTATTTACAAAAAAATATGTATCTATGTATTTGTATCAGTTGTCCCGTATGATTGTATCATTCTGGATGTTTTCTATGTATAATATGTATTTATTCAAAGAAATATATATCTACATATTTGTATCAGTTGTTTACTACCCATAGCCCCATAACACAAGCCCTAGCCAGCTTGGCTTGGGTCTAGATAGCGCTGTGTTAATTATCTTGAGTTATTATGTATTATTATTTCTCTACATAGGGACATCTCCATAAATTAACAATGGTTTCCAGAAGTAATATGGTACATTACTACCAATAGAGATAAAAATTGTAGTAAAACAAAAAATTGAAACTAATTGAAAACCATTGTACCAATTGTGTAAGATTAAGAAAAAAAAAAAGATATAAAAACTGATATAAAAGCTGAACAGAAAAAATTGTTTATTGAAAAATTTCTAAATATAGATATGACACATCTATATATCTATCATTATATATATTTTCAAATATAGATATGACACATCTATATTTGAAAATAGAAATTTACTTATGAAAATTTCTATTTTCAAATATAGAAAATTTCGTAAACATATAACCTCAAAACAGATAGGAATAAATAGGTTTTGTGATTATTAATTAATTTTACTAAATCGCTATAGCTAGTATTTTCGTCATATATCTCTTTAGGAAAGACCCTTTAGTCTTACTACAATTAGTGAAATATTGATCTGCTGTGTCGCAGTTAGTGAGTTCAACCTTGGCTGTTAATCCTTTATGCTGAATAGATATTTTTGTGACATAATTATCTTGAAAGGCAACGTAATTACGTCAGAGAAATATGTACTTAGAAAGATTTACGTACCTGTACAGTGTACAGAGATATTTTGTTATGTTTGTATTTATTTTGTGTTGTCCACCCACAAACGGCCGAGTTCATTTTGACGTCATAAATTAGAGTCAAATATTTATTTCGCAATAAGGAATAAAGGACACTTTTACTTTACAAATAAATAAAATAAATAGAGTTGTTATCTTACTAATAATTATAAACGCGAAAGTTTGTATATATGTTTGTTACTCTTGACGACCTCGGTGGTCTAGCGGTTTAGCACACCGCCTTACTTCCGATGGTCGCAAGTTCGATGCCTCGCACGGCACAAACATTTGTATTCATAAGTACGATTGTTTGTATCGGTCTGGGTGAATCTATGTACAATATGTATGTATTTACGAAAAAAAATATCTATGTATTTGTATCAATTTTCTAGTACCCATAACACAAGCTTTAACTAGCTTAACTTGGGTCTAGATGGCACTGTTTTCCGGGGATTATTATTATTATTACTCTTTCACGCAAAAACAACTAAACGAATTTTGATGAAACTTTACATATATTCGTGATAACTACTCAAACCTCAAGTTCATTTTATCATCCTTCACTGGTGCCCCGCCAACATAAACCGTTACTGCCGGCGGGTGCACCATTCCGTGCGATTATAAAACGCAAGCACCAACTCCAAAAATTGTATGCGGAAAACATCCTTTAAGGATTTTTTAAATACTTCATCACTAAAGGTTCAAAATAAGGGTTTATCTCTTGTTAAGGATTTAAGTAAAAAGAACACAACCTAAATTGGCAACTGCGTTTATTATAGTACTTAATCTTCGTGATACTCACTGTTAATATTACATTTATTTAATGTTACAATGTTACATTTTGCCAGCCTTTACAAAATGCATTCGGATTGATAACATTTTACAATTAGATAGGTATATATATTATAGTATACACATTGACTATCTACAATGATAACAAAAATTAAAATAACATTTCATACATAGGTGTAATATTTTATATTTATTATTACAATACTTATATATTATTACATTTAAATATATAAATATATAAAATGAAAGTTAAAGACATATATTTTTAGAAAAATCGCATCCAATATATCTTTTTGTAGTAAATATAATTTGCAAGATAGCAATTTTATGAATACAAAAAGTAAGAACCAACATTTTTGAAAATTACTCTCAAAACTATCTACTTAACGCCTACTCGAGTCGCTGACTTTTTTTTAACAACTAGATAAACTTTTTTATTTGCTTATACAGAGACAATAGAAAAATCTAGTAAAAAGAAACATAGATTAAATTATAAAAATAAACACTTATTAGGCTGCGACCACATTTGTGACTAAACTATTAAAGTTTTGACATAGAATAAAAACATTAAATATTGTTATAACTATAGATATAGTAATGAATATTTACTAAATACATGTTCTATTTAAATGACGTGCGTGTGAGAAATGCAAACCAACAATTTCCTTTGAACCAAGTTTCAGAGAAGTAGATGACAGAAATTACCATATTAGTGATAAACATATTTCTATAATTGACTAAATTCATTAACAGTTGAAATTAAGATCCCGCGCAAATGTCTTGACAGCTATATATTGTTTCTCACATTTTGGTTTTGGCGAACTGTATTTTTGCCGCAATAATTGGCCAGTGCATGTGATCGCAACCTAACAAATTTGTAATTTAATTTGCTCCTACGCAGTATGCTGACTAGATAAAACTTATCCAACGATGCAACGTTAGAATAAGCCACTTATATTTAAATTGGCAAGGAATCCATTATGTTATAAGGATATGTAGATATCTTAACAGGATTTAAGAAGACTGCATAATTATTCAAATGTAGTGAAGACACTTAGTTAGGCGTTTCCATTTCAGGGCTCGCTTCTGTAAAAAAAAATGCGATTATTATTTTTCATTAGAAGCCTATACAGAATTCGTCGCAAAGGGTAACAGAATACTTTTTTATGAATCTGTGTAACAATTTTGATTATATAATCATTTATAGCAATATTTATGTCGATCCATTTTGAAGATTCTGACCACATCCTACAATCCTACAAAACAATTTCTAAATGAAACTGTGCCACCAAAATAAATGAGAATTTAATTACTTTACTTTATTACTTGAGAATGGTGCTAAGTCTTATATAAGATAGTGTTAATTACTCTGTAGTAAAGGATATATTGGTACAGAAAGTCGAATCGAATATACGAAATATTTCTGATAAAAAATTTTGACCTTTTATACCAAATTGATCATGCGACCACGCAGTTTGTATGAGGGTTACAAAATTAATTTTATGATTGAAGCGAGATGACAACACTATTGTGTATACTTATTATTTATTCATTTACTTCAGTTCAATGCACAAAAATAATGTATACATAAGGCGGACTTAACGCCTTGCGGCGTTATCTACCAGTCAACCATGAGGGGTGTAGAGAAGAATTGTTGGCGGCGCACTTATATAAATGAGACGTAAAAAATATTGATCATAAAAAGCCTAACAATAAAGTAAAATTTATATAAAAATGTGCCATCTAAATAATATAAAAAATAAAAAGCTATGATGGGCAAGCGGCCAGTAACAAATCTTGCATTTTGCCTCTTTGAAAAGTAATTGAGTTTCATGAATACCTACTATCAATGACTTACTTACTATCAATAATTTGTATTAGTACTTGGTAAATATAGTAAGGTAAATAGATTTCTAAATTATTTAATACGTAGTACCTAATTAACTATGTACCTTGATTAGGTAAACATTTCAATTGACACAGCTCGACACGATTTCAAAAGGCTAACCTACTCAAATATTAGCGGTAATTTCATTGCAAAATTGTAGTCTACGCATCAAATATTCATAGGTGTTCGTCTATTGATTGTTAAAAGATATAAACGCTTTATACAATCACAGCTGTGTATACGTTTTTTGAAACACAATTTTGTCTACGTGACCATTTGTGAATACCCAATTTCTATGTGGTTTCAGAATTCTGCGTAAAACAACAATCCGTGCTTCATTGTATTTCAGCGAATAGTAAATATTAATATCATTTATTAATTTCGGATACTTATACATATAATGTTAGTTAACAACGTACAAACTATATTCTACATACACATTTGCTATAGTGCTTGGGAAGATGTTTGCGTTCCCCCGGATTATAAACATCAGTGATGCAGTTTGTTTTGGCATCATGACTTGAAAGCCATCCACGCTGCTGCAAACATCTTTGATGCGCTACAGAACTGAGGGAGCCTCAACAACATCCTAAACCCTATTATATTCTACGCGAAGAGCGTTATATACTCTTATTACAATTTACACAAAATAAGCTGAGTGGACATCTTTCTCATCTAATTTTGCAGCTTGCTTTGCAGGTTGTACTGTGGTTGAAGGATGAGATATAGTATATATATATATATATTTATGTATGTATGTCTAATAATATCTATTATTGTAAAGTTACCACGTAAGTGTTTGTACTATAATGCGACGCTTACTAACTTCTCAGTTTGCCCTATGGTTGACTGGTAGAGAACGCCCTTAGGTGTTAAGTTTGCCATAAGTACATTAATATATTGTATTTGTGCATTAAAGTTTTGAATAAATATAGCATTAAAGTTACTGGATAAGAGGAAGGACACCTTGTTCCCTTAGAATGACAACGCATGATTGATATCACGGACGTCACATGATAACATGACGTCAGTTATGATGTTCATGTATATAGGCGACGTCAGCTTATTGGCCATCCCAATTACTCATAAAAAAGTCACTTCACGTAAAATTCAAGTTGATAAGATAGTAAAATGCACGAGTGGTGCAAATCAGGATAGAAGCAGAATGACGTACAATAACAATGGATTTTTTTAATGGATGATAATGGAATGGTGCTCTGGCGCTATTGGTTTACGCTGGCAGAGCACCAGTGAAGGATGATAAAATGAACATTAAGTCAGGTCAGTTAGCCCATCGTGATAAATTTACCTTGTGAATTTATACGTGGAGGTCAGTTTACTTAACGGGGTACATTGCTATTAATGGGGTCATCAGTCCACATTAATGTATATTCCCTTCCTGCTAACGGACATATTCAGTAGATATACTTGTAGTAAATATGTTTTATTGTCTCTTATAGTTTGAACATTCAATCGCATTACAAGATTGTGTTACGGAGCAGGTGGAAGGGATTGTTAGTGTACTAATGAACGCATTCCTAACAACATATCAGGTCAAGTCAGGTTGGACTCCACGCAGTTCCCCCTGGAAACTATAGTGATTCATTCCTCATGAATTTGCTACGATGAGCTAAGTAACCCGACCTCATGGCATTAGGCATAGACAAAATACTATAATGCAATAGCTACGTATAGGTCTGTACTTGGAAGATATAGGAGAAAATCTATGACTGGGGGACTTTATCAACGTAACTGAACCTAATACAACAATTGTAATTTTTTGTGTTTGTGAGCACTACCTTCTATGTATGGGTAATGTTATGCATTATGTAGAAGAAGGTCTAAAACATAATTTTTAAGTGTCTTTTAATATAATTAAGTTGATGTATGCTTACAAGGTCATTTAAGCATAGAACCAAGTGACAATGACCTGTGGCTTTGGACAAGTGACTAAAAGGACAATTTTTGCGCAGTCATCTCTTTAGACCTATTACATTAGAGGAGAATGACTTACCGTCGATCCACTTTTTGCCTCGCATCCCAAAGAATCCCATTTGCGCCTTCCTCTTGGGCCACGGGCCGTTCAGTAAAAACTTTAATTCTTGCGCGCCACTGGTCTTAACGTCTTTTTTGCCGCGTACCCCAATGAATTTGCCGCGAAACGTCAAATCATAAGGTCGTTTCTCTTGCACCGACTTCTTTCCTCTCACACCATAAAACTGGTGCATGTTGGCTGCCCTTTTGTCCACCTCATTCGTAATCCTCTCGCTGGATAAGTCATCGTCGATAGTCGCTGCAGTCATAGGTTCGGGCCGTTCAAGTTTCTGTAAATATTGCGTGAGGACATCATTTAGAATTGGGAATTCATTTTCGTCAAGTTTATTTCTTTCATCGCTGGAAGCGTAGTCGATCTGACCAATCAGGGAGCCGTCTCTCTTTGGAACGTATTCATAACTATCTGGGTAATACATGTCAGGGATGTACGACTCCTTCTTCCCTCTCATACCAACAAAGCCCATTGGCGCTCGTTTATACTCGTAGTTCTCTAAAGCCTCTAAGAAGTTCTTCTTCCCTTTGACACCGACGAAGAACTGTGGTTTCCGTTTATAGAACTGTTCTGTTGAGCCTGAGTCGTATTTCTTGCCTCTCATGCCCAGAAAACCTTTGGGTACACGCTTCTCGATGTCTTGCGATGACGCCGCGTAAATTAAGTGCATGGTGATGAAGAAAAGACAAGTCCTGGATGTTCCACCCATTTTGATGTGATCTGGAACAAATGATATAAAAATTTAAACATGTCATAAAAATATATGTTTTCTAACACACAGCATATATAAGCAATTGCCGCCTGTTGCAATGCACTTTTTGAATTTTTGTATTCGGTTCGGACCCTGCGCATAACTAAATTATTACCACTGAAAAGGACCCTGACGGAATTTCTAAAGCCAATAAACAGTTCATCCAAGGCCGCATATATAAACCTAGTAACACGTGACGTAGCCAGCACGCTTGGCGTCTGTCCCCTGGGTGAGCAGTTGTGTGCATAACCCCTTACATCACGACACGACTTACAGTCGCGCCTGACGTTTGGTAATTACGTGTGTTGCTTGTAGACTGTTGCGTGGAATAATAAGATGTACGCAGAGTAGGATATACAATAGATACAAGAATATTTGGCTGTAGCTGTATCTATGATACTTGAATATTTGGCTATAATACTTTTTAATTCATGAAATTTCCCTCATTTCATTCAGTAAAAGTATTATACGTTTTAGTCTAGGATGTTATTTATTTATGTAGTAGCAAATAGTCATAATATTAATTAGTAAAAAAACAAAAATAAATTAATATCAAACAGATTTCAATATTTTTTTATAGAAAGACTTCCGGGGTTCATCATCAACATCTGATGCGGTAGCGGTAGGGAGGTAGTTCGTCATTAACATATTCGTTGATACCTTTATATACCTTTATCCATTTAATGAAATTTCTATGAGACCAATCTGAAAATACAAAATCAGTTTATTACTGACAGAGATTTGTATGACAGAAACGTAAAAATAAAACAATCCATTTAAGAACTTGCAACTTCTTCTTTTAAACGTCGGTTAACAATCTTTACTGAAATAAACTCAATATACGAACTGTTTGCGATCAAAGCCATTAGCTATTCAATAAAAATAAAATTCATAATTCAAAAATAGAACGTCAAACATTGACCTGTTTTTCTTCCCGCGTAAAAATATTTAAAAACGTGGTGATTACTCTCTCAGTAAAAATATTCGTCATACCACAACCTTACTGCCGTATTTGTGACTTAAAATTGTTATAGTACTTTATTTATTTATTTTGACACGTCTTTAGTAATATTATAAAGAGGTAAAGTTTGTATGTTCATAAGTTTTGGGGTAATCTACGATTCTGCTGATCATATTTTAAAAAGTCTTTCACTGTTAGAAAGGTATATTAACCCCGAGTGTTATATAGGCTAACATAACATTATGTTACTACCAATAGGAGCCACTGAACTATATAGCAGTTACCACACTCCGATTACAACTTATAAGTGCCATACAGCCTTATAAATATACATAATTTGAAACAATATTAGGTGTGTAACTATTCATTATATAATTTACAGTGTATTCTAAATTATTTGTACTTTTATGTGAAGTTTTGAAAGTATTTAATAATAACTAAATCTAGGCCTGTGAATTAGGTTTTGTTCTGCTTTTTTTTTATTTTTTTATAAATATGTATTGCTACCAACTTGTAAAAACTGAAATTCCTTTACCAGTAGGTATCATAGAGTAATTGAGGCTGAAGGTACTCAAAACTAAAAGCCCATTCTATCTCTGTTATTATAGTAAACACAATGCTGAAACCAATTAATATTGTATTTCTATCATCAATAACACTCCATTTAACCTTTATAAAAATAACACCCGCCGCCGTCTACAAAAAAAATAATTAAAGAACTGAAAACAGTGGATGACACTTTGGAACTACGTGGCATTACCTGAGTGGGTGAAAAAGATAGATGTAATATGAAGATTGTGTGCGTGCGACAGAGACGGAAGACACGCCTAATGAGCGCCACTGTCACCCCTCATCAAAGTTTAAAAGCTATTGTGATGATGCGTGTAGAACTCGCAACTTTCTTGGCAGTGTTCGAAGTGTGATGAACGGATTTTCAGTAAATCTATAAAAAACTTTTGTTGTTTTGCTATAAAATCGCTGGCACTCTTTTAATACTACTTACATCTTCTTATTAACAAACAAAATAAAAATATATTGTGCTATCTGGCAGTCTGTATTCACACAACTTTTAATTTAAAAATGTAATGTTGCACCAATAACATTTATTAAAAAAAAACGACAGGCAAGTTTCTTGCTCATTGATCATATTATCCAAACCTGCACCTTCACACAGCTGCAATTAAGTCCCAAGCTAAGCAGAGCTTGATGAGTTATGGATATTGGAAACAACAAATAATATAATTACTGAATAATATTTTTAAATACATACACAATATACATTGTAAACACACAGACGAATACAAACAATCACACTCATAAATGTTTGGATCAGGCGAGGGATTGAACCCGCGACCATCATAAGTAATGCATTGTCTAAAGATTATAATTATTGTGCGGTGTACTTACCGCGACACTACTCAATATAAAATATCATACATTAATGCATACCATCATAGGTAAGGCATTATGCTAACAAATATGTATAAAATATGCTATATATTAATTTAGGATATTATTTATGTGTGTATAAAATTTCATACATTAATACATAATATGTTTTGTCAATGTTTCATTAGACGAATTACGTCACAAGAGTAATTAACACGCCCTGAACTGCTCACAGCACTGGTAAATCACAACTTAATTATCGGAAGCGAGCAATTGATACGCCCATAAATAATTTAGTATACTCTTGTTTGGTCCTTGTTCATAAACAATGTAATTATGAATAACAATTATAAATTAGTGAGGGTAGTTCCATAGGGATATCGCCGCTCGATTGAAAGCTCTCGGGATGAATGGCGGTCCTCCAGCGTATGTTTTTTTAAGAAACTTTTTGATACACACAACCACATTGTGGAATCACCTTCCAGAAATGGTATTTGTGAACCGATACGATATTGAAACCTTCAATAAAAGAGTTTATCCATTTTTAAACGGCCGGCAATGCACTTGCGATTTCTCTGCAATTTCCCTGGTATTGCGGGTGCTCTTGCGGCAGCCAGTAATCACTTACCATGAGGTGTACAGGGTACATCTCATGGTAAGTGATTACTGGCTGATTTGTAACATATGCTAAAACTATATATAGATTAGATACGATACGGTATAGATACGTAGATTATATAAATTTACGTATCTATATCTGTATAGTTGCGTAGAATTATTTTAACTCTAGAAATGCCTCAGTGGGTTCCAATTAATAATTACGCAATCATTTACATTTTATTCTAGAAATAAATATTATTCAATTGCATGTGATTTCATTCTTAATAAAAAAAAAAAAATTAAAAAAAAGTAAGTAGCTTCGTTAAATAATATTAGGTACATATTAATTTGTATTAGTTTATTAATATTAAATTTTAATTAAATTAATAAATAATTATTTTAATATATTAATAAATATTTAATTTACCAAACTACAGTTGATCTAATCTTGCCCTTTTTAAGATCCAGAGACTACTGCTACTTATAGATCTACTGCCTTTTCTTAAGATAATTTTTCAGTTTTGAATTGAGTGAGTAAAAATCGATCTACGAATCATGAAAAAAACGACATAACCGTTCAAAATGGAAGAAAAGTAGTCGATTATCAAATAAATTAAGTAAAGCACCTCGTAATTAACGATAGTTACCTCATGAAACCGGTTAAAACTGGCGGAAACCGTAAAATTTATTCGATCTCCTCGTCCGCCAGATGGCGCATAGCATTACCGGTAAGTGCTAGGTTATTGCATTTACCGACTGCGGGTAGAGTGTCACCACGCATAAATGTAGACCAAACTGCATTGCTTTTACTATTGGAAAAAGTCAAATGATTTTTTTCTTTTTTTTTTAGTTACACTTAGCACTGGACGTACTACCATACGTTTCAAGTTTAATTTCATTTGGTAATTTCAGAATATATTACTTTTTGTTAAAGTGCAATGCAGAACTTACATGATTACATTTTAGGAGTATTATATCAATATTGTTATTAAGTTACTCATTTATTGCAGACTTTGTTCTCGAAAAAAGATATTCACAGTTAGACAGTTTGCTAGACCGACTTTGTATATACACATACATGTGTGTAAGTGATTGTATATTATTTTTTTATTTATTTATTTCAAGCTACTAACCCATGGCTATGGATTTTTATTGTATAACAGTCCTGCACAAATACATATGTCTTGAGTTTCTGTTATCTGAAAAGTGGTTTAAAGGTCTGAATAAGTATTATTACGAAATAGTTATTTTATATATTATTCAAATCTGAATAGAAAAATATCTTTACATAGTCTAAAACAAGGTCGGCGCCGCGCTACTGTCTGTTCGCTTATATCTGTTAAATTACGAAATGGATTTTAATGCAGTTTTCATCAGTTAATAGAGTCAATCAAATCAAAAGGAAGGTTTATATGTGTAACACATGCGTGTTATAGTATTGAACAAAATGAGAAATTCATTTATATAATCTCAGGACAATTCACACAGCGCCATCTAGACCCAAGTTAAGCTAGCTAAAGCTTGTGTTATGGGTACTAGACAACTGATACAAATACATAGATAATTATTTTTCGTAAATACATACATATAATACCCAGACCGATACAAACAATCCTACTCATGAATACAAATGTTTGAGCCGTGCGAGGAATCGACCCGCGACCATCGGTCATAAAGCGGTGTGCTAAACCGCTAGACCACCGAGGTCGTCAATTTACATATATGTGACATTCATAGATTAATATAAAACCGATAAATTCAAGGATTTATAAAGCATCCATATGAAGCCGGGTCGGGTAGCTAGTATAAAATAAAATTGAATCATATCAGTGTTTATCTAACATCGTTCACAAGACAAAGTCCAATAATACCTACTGAATTACTGATTATCTCCGGACGGCGAGATGTGGCAATGAAATTACTAGGTACGAGGTATAACACCTTGGTCCGCAGGGATACCAACAACAATAATGTACGAGTAACAGGAACGGGTATCACAGTGTAATTTGTGATGTTATT